AAACTTTACTCTTTTACACACATGATGTAGCGGGAAAGCAGTACATCAACTCTTTAACCCCCTACCCCCATTACCATGTCTAAACCCCCATCTCGCCCCCCCCCCCCCCCCCCCCCCCCCCCCCTTCCCATCTCAACCCCAAGAAGATTAAGCATTCCATCATAAACAGAGCCTTGTAAATTTGATGTCGACCAGTGTTGCACAATAGGCGATATTTCATGAAGAGCGAAGAGTTACGTATGGCGTCTTCCAACTGCCTCAAAGCTGAACGGTTCCCAGTGGCAGAACACCACACATGCCTGTCGTGGCGTTTCGAGTATTAGCGTGTGTGGGCTCTCTGATGCGGAAACACGCACTGCACAACCCGGGAGATGGCGGGAACAGAGGTCATTGTCCGGTTAAATGAGACACTATTATTCACAGAGACGCTCTCCGGTGACACGGTCGGAGATTTTAATCTTTGTCCCCAGAACTCTATCACCACGTGGTGAAGCCGTCGACGTCGAAGTCTGTGCATGTGGCAGCGTGTGTGAATGTAAGTGTGTGAGTGAGTGTGAGGATGAAGCTGAGTGTTTGGGAAGGTTGGGGTGGGGGTGGGGGTGAGTACGAGTGTGAGTGTGGGGGTGAGTGTGGATGTGAGTTTGGGGGTGAGAGTGAGGGTGAGTGTAGGGGTGGAGGTGAGTGTGAGTGTGAGTGTGGGGGTGGAGGTGAGGGTGAGGGCGAGTGTGTGGGTGAGTGTGGGAGTGGAGGTGAGCGTGAGGGTGGGTGTGAATGCGGATGTGAGTGTGGGGGTGAGTGTGAGCGTGAGGATGGGGGTGAGTGTGAGTGTGAGTGTGAGTATGAGGGTGAGAGTGATAGCACCGAACTGATACACCTGCAAGAGAGTGAGTGAATATCGTTCCCCTTAAATCGCTTGATAGATAAGATAAGAAAAGATAATATTATTAATTTTTAACATTCCATTACGGAACCCATACAATATATAAATGTCATTTACAGAACCCATATAGTAAACAAAAAAACCTCAGATTCCATTCCACCCACCAGTCCCTTCTCAGCTCCATCATCCTGTCCTCATTCCATCCTCAGCTGTGAGTTCCTCAACACTCGCGTGTTCCCTTATAGACTTACACGTTAATCGAATACAGGGACTAGTATTTCGCAAAGATCAAATTTTGTTGTGGAACTGGTAAATTGCGATATAGAGGCCTCCAAAGCAATGCAAGTGACTCATAAGTGAGAACTCATTTAAATTAACAATATTAAAAAAAAACTGGTATCGAGCCCACATCTGCAGCCCTAGATTGTCATTCCGGTGTTAACAAAGTTCCCGCTTTGGAGAGAGTAAAACGAGCCAGCAACGAGGTTTCCAAACGAGTTAAATTACTTCATTCCTCTTTGATCACTGAAAAACCCAATGTGCATTCTGGATGCTCCAGTGACCTGGATCCAGGTTCGGGTTCGGCACAAAGGAGTTTCCCTCGAAGAAGGCTTCCCTGGTAACGCCACGCCGGGACTACTTTCGCCACATCGAACAAAGCCATGTTCCCGCCACGAGACAAAGAATTAGGTCCTGTTATCAAACACAAATGACCTGGTTCTGTTTTTGAATTTAGAACACGTCATGATTTTAACAAAGGTTATTGACCTCAATCTCGAGAACATATTTTTTTAATGAAAAAAATAAATGGATACACTACAACAAAAGAAACATAATGAAAGCCTCAAACGCGTGGCAACACCTGATAATTAAATATTGAATAAATATTGACCTCGGTTGTTTTGGATGCATTTCTTTAATACATGATTATGCAAGCCACGTGGCGATATTTTTCATAAAAAGCAAAGCTTACCAAAAACACAACACGTTTGATGATTAATTTACTGCATTCTGGCAATTCACAGATGTTAGTTCAGACAAAGACGTATATAGAATGTATGTACGTCCGTGGTTCAGATTACTATTTTTTGCAAAAAAAAATAGTGTGATGGCTAGATTTACTTCTAAAAGTAATATCTGTGTCAAAATGAACAACAAACACGCACTTAACAAACAGCCCTATCTTGAAGGCATTGTGTACCTTAGCTAATACACTTTAAGTATTCACTGGGTTTCGATTGACCAGTAACACTCTTGAAGTAAGACAGTTATGGTTATATTCAAACACATCAGGAACCCGTGAAGATTCGGGTTACAATAGCATGCATGCTTGCCGTAAGAGGCGACTAACGGGATCGGGTGGTCAGACTCGCTGACTTGGTGGATGCAAACAGGGTGTAGTTTGGTGTTTATCGATGACAAAACATGGTGTAATGTGGTGTGTATCCAAGATAAAACATGATGTAGTATGTTGTTTATCTAATACAAAACATGGTGCAATGTGGTGTTTATTCATGACAAAACATGGTGTAATGTGGTGTGTATCCAAGATAAAACATGATGTAGTATGTTGTTTATCTAATACAAAACATGGTGCAATGTGGTGTTTATTCATGACAAAACATGGTGCAATGTGGTGTTTATCCAAGATAAAACATGATGTAGTATGTTGTTTGTCTAATACAAAACATGGTGCAATGTGGTGTTTATCCAAGATAAAACATGATGTAGTATGTTGTTTATCTAATACAAAACATGGTGTAATGTGGTGTTTATCCAAGATAAAACATGATGTAGTATGTTGTTTATCTAATACAAAACATGGTGCAATGTGGTGTTTATCCCAGATAAAACATGATGTAGTATGTTGTTTATCTAATACAAAACATGGTGCAATGTGGTGTTTATTCATGACAAAACATGGTGCAATGTGGTGTGTATCCAAGGTAAAACATGATGTAGTATGTTGTTTATCTAATACAAAACATGGTGTAATGTGGTGTGTATCCAAGGTAAAACATGATGTAGTATGTTGTTTATCTAATACAAAACATGGTGCAATGTGGTGTGTATCCAAGATAAAACATGATGTAGTATGTTGTTTATCTAATACAAAACATGGTGCAATGTGGTGTTTATCCCAGATAAAACATGATGTAGTATGTTGTTTATCTAATACAAAACATGGTGCAATGTGGTGTGCATCCAAGGTAAAACATGATGTAGTATGTTGTTTATCTAATACAAAACATGGTGTAATGTGGTGTGAATCCAAGATAAAATATGATGTAGTATGTTGTTTATCTAATACAAAACATGGTGTAATGTGGTGTGCATCCAAGAAAAAAACATGATGTAGTATGTTGTTTATCTAATACAAAACATGGTGTAATGTGGTGTTTATCCAAGATAAAACATGATGTAGTATGTTGTTTATCTAATACAAAACATGGTGTGGTCTGGTGTTTATCCAGGACAAAACATGGTGTGGTCTGGTGTTTATACAAGACAAAACATGGTGTCTGTTGTGTGATGTTTATCCAAGATACAACATGGTGTTATGTGGTGTTTATTCATGACACAACAGGGTGTTATGTGGTGTTTATCCAAGATACAACAGGGTGTAATGTGGTGTTTATTCATGACACAACAGGGTGTTATGTGGTGTTTATCCAAGATAAAATATGGTGCAGTGTGTTGTTTATCCAATACAAAACATGGTGTGGTCTGGTGTTTATCCAGGACAAAACATGGTGTCTGTTGTGGGATGTTATTCACGGATATGTTACATGTCGGTTCTGGGATATGGCCGTTTTGTTGAGTAAATAACATCATACAAGCTAACGGTATTTGTCAATATAGTTTTAATAAACTGTTCAAGAAGGAGATGAAGTGTTTTGTTGGAGGATGCTGCAGCCATGAATCTGATGTGGACTGAATGCCGTATTGAACAGTTTTGTTGAAAACTACACAAATTATGAGTTTGATGTCTCCACTAATGCTATTCAGGGCTATGGATTATGCTGTCTTCGTTGATGCTCCATCAAAGACAAGCTACCGATATAAACACACCATGGATCACCGTTATGACGATGTCCCCGACCTCCAGCTGGTAAAAGCATTAGTGAGTGAAACTATATCTGCCGTGCACGTGCCAGGCTGATCTCGTGACCCGCTTGCTCGACCTGACATTAACCTTATATGGTATCATGGGACGCCCGTGGCACGCACAATGGATGCCATTAACACATATGAACATTGTAGATTCATATGACGTCCGACAGCGACCATGCTCATTATGATTGGAAGGGGAACCATGGGAGGATCACGGGTTTCAAATGACACATTTGAGTACCAGATTGATGGCTTTTCTTGAGCACGTGTACTTTTGTGAAGGGCAGTTTTTTTTCATATGCATTGTTCGAACACATCCGTATGATATAGTGTATCCCATATGTGGCTTCCTGAGCATGCACGAATGCAAGTTTATGATGAAGAGCCTATATTTCATTTATGACTGATTAAAATCATATATCATCCGACACTCGCTCGTTATGGTAAGATATGGTTAGGTTGGTGTCAGAGTATCAATGCATCACATCGTTTTGTTGATGATCGAATAGAACAGTTGCAACATTGTTTTGGTGATAGAATAGAGCCATGAAATACTGTTTTGTTTTGTCACATTGTGTCAGGACCGCCTCCGTGGTCTAGTGGTAGAGCGTCCGCCCGGAGAGCGGAAGGTCCGGGGTTCAATCCCCGCGCGTCATACCAAAAGACGTTAAAAAATGGTACTTGATCTTACCCTGTCTGGCGCTCGGCATTAAGGGGCTAAAACAAGGACTGATCGGCTCGGAGTCAGTATACTGTGTCTGAGTGGTATAATCATGTTAGTGTGAGTGAGTTGGGTTTAACGCCGCTTCTAACAGTATTCCAGTTATATCACGGCGTGTCAGCTTAATGTGGGAGGAAAGCCCCAAGTGATGCAAGTGAAACCCACGAGCACGGGTATGGTGCTGACAAACCTAGAAACATAATCGGGGCGAACCGGGATTTGAACCCAGTTAATCATGTTAAACTGCGGTATGGTATCTCAGTGTGATAGCACTATAAATCGGCATCAGTCAGAATGATCAGAGTAGGCGGAATGACCAGAGTAGGCGGAATGATCAGAGTAGGCAGAATGACCAGAGTAGGCGGAATGACCAGAGTAGGCGGAATGACCAGAGTAGGCGGAAAGACTATAGTAGGCGGAATGACCAGAGTAGGCGGAATGACCAGAGTAGGCAGACTGACCAGAGTAGGCGGAATGATCAGAGTAGGCGGAAAGACTAGAGTAGGCGGAATGATCAGAGTAGGCAGAATGACCAGAGTAGGCGGAATGACCAGAGTAGGCGGAATGATCAGAGTAGACGGAATGACCAGAGAAGGCAGAATGACCAGAGAAGGCTGAATACATCCGTGCTTATGGAGACGTGGTTGTTTACGGAATTGAACAAGATGACCATTGACATAGACTGTGAGTTCAGGAAAGGACCTTCGCTCCATTCCTTCTGAACAGATTGTAACATCACTGGTCAGACTGACCGGAAGCTATTGCCGGGGAAAAAACTTGGTCAAGGGGCTCCAGCTCCCCCGGCCGACATCTGTACACACACACACACCATCGCCTGATCAAACACATCCGCGCGACCTCGTTACAGCACTTGAAAGGCTTGGACCGTCTACTGAGGCTCGGCTTTTGCCATTTCCTTCAAGTCCCTGGGTCGTCTCTGCCCTTTTACTCTTGTCCCGGGGGGTGGGGATTGCACGACCGAGGGACCTGCGGCATCCCTGTCAAGATGCCTGACCTTATTGGGTCATGTTGAGGCTAACGACCTACTTTCCCATTGGTAGATTGTGAAAGTTGGCCAAGCCCGCCTCATTAGTACGTTGACTCAGTGTAATCTAAGCAGGACAAGCAAGGCATGACTTGCATTATGCTGTTTAAGTAATTTCACTATCCAGTTAACCCAGTTACAATAACCTGCAGACATGCTTCAGCATGAAAACACTTTTGTCAACAACGGAAATATGCGAAAAGTTAACACTGTGTGTATAGGGAGATGTCACTGTCAATGTCCCGGATAACTAGCCTCCAGTCTGAAATTAATGCAATCTTTACCACCCTTTCTTTGTCACAGTATATTTGATAATAATCACAACAGGAGAAAATACAAAGTATCGATTCGCTGCAAACATATCACAGATCGCCCTCTAGCCTGTGACTGGCTGTACATGTTCCTCACCGAGCCATTGCTTTAATAGAACCGTGAACATCCGGGCTATTAGAGGTCTTCAGCAACCCTGCTTGTTGTAAGAGGCAACTATCGGGATCGGTGGGTCAGGCTCGCTGTTTTGGTTGATGCGTGTTATCGTATCCTCATTGCAGGGATCAATGCTCATGCTGTCAATCACTGCATTTTCAGGTCCAGGCTCGATTAAACACAGACTGCCGTCATATAGCCGGAATATTGCTGAGTGCGGCGTTAAACAACATACAAACAAACAAAACTTTCTTCGGCAACCCATGCGTGTCGCAAGAGGCAACTGACTGGATCGCGTGGTCAGGCTCGCTGACTTCGTTGACGCATGTCATCGTATCCCAATTGCGTGGTCCAAAGCTCATGAGATCTATCACAGGATTATCTGGTCCTGACTCGATTACAAACAGGCCGAGGTCATATAGCTGGAATACTGCTGAGTGCGGCAACAAACAAACAAACAAACAAACAAACAAACGAACAAACATACCATTTCATATGATTGCATTTTATTTACACAGTGTCACCACATCCACTAGTGCAACTGGGAAGTGTATCTGTAACCTATATACAATACAACACATCGGTCTGTAACCTAGCTATTGATACATAACCTACAATATGTAACCTATAAACGCAACACCTGTATGGGGACCGAGTTATCTATTTTCTTCTGAATTCCTCCATGGCTAGGAGTCACAGAAGTCATCAATGACAATTGTAGACATTTAATCTCTGAATATTGCTCCACGCCACCGTAGTTGCAGTTGTTGTTGTAGTGGATGTTGAGGTTGTGTTTGGCTAGCGTCAGGTGACGATGGCGACGTTATCTTGCCCGTGTGAACCGCAGTATGCCACGCAGCCTGTGTGAATCAGAATCTGTGTGACCCTCTTGATGGCGGTTGTGCTTTCAGCCAGAAAATTACCACATACTCGCTACACATGGGATATATTTACTAACCCCCTCAACACACATGTACATGTATACGCATACATTCAAGGAGAGGGCGACAGTTCGTCGTTTGACGTCATTCTGTCACTGACCAATCAGAAAGCTAGAATAATGTCACGGCCAACACAGTAGCGACATGAAAGGTGCATCTCGACATAGACCGATATGTCACACGGGCGGGTTACTGATAGACTAACATGTACTCGGTTACAAAATACCATTTCTGTTCAGAAATAAAATTAAAAACTATTGGTGGTTAGTTTTATTTGCCTTTTTTATCATACATACATACATACATACATACATACATACATACATACATACATACATACATACATACAGGCACGCACACAGACATACAGACAGACAGACAGACACACACACACACACACATACATACATACATACATACATACATACATACATACATACATACATACATACATACATACATACATACATACATACAGGCACGCACACAGACATACAGACAGACAGACAGACAGACACACACACACACACACACATACATACATACATACATACATACATACATACATACATACATACGTACATACATACATACATGCGTTGTGTCCTTTTAGCGTAAACTGCCGTATGTATATTTTTAGATGGGAATGAGATTTAGTGAGACCTTACGCCATACATTTTGAATATAATTTTTTTTATTAGAATGCTTTTGGTGTCAAATTTCAAATAAATAAATAAATAGATCATAGATAGATAGATAGATAGATAGATAGATAGATAGATAGATAGATAGATAGATAGATAGATAGATAGATAGATAGATAGATAGATAGACAGACAGACAGACAGACAGACAATAAAAAATACACGAAAACTGTTTCTAATGCCTTGGGCACTATCCACGACCCGGCGACATTTGAAGGCACCCTTTCACCACCTTCAAGGTAAACTAGGTGTTTGCATCCAACTCCCAGTGTTGTAGAAGTCGTGAGATTCAAGGTGTCTGTGATAATAAAGCGCCCATGTTAATTAACGTGTTACACTCCTCAAGGTGGGTGGCCCCGAGAACAAGCGGCAATGACGTCACTAACAACGATCGCAAATAACGATGACGTCAAAGTTTAGTATCTGGTGTGTGTCAATTACCTGATTCCGTGGCACACCTGCCAATCTGTGCACGTACTTACATATACGACCTACACGACCAGGTGTGACCCCAGCCTTGTGTAGGTCAAATAGTAGACGCGCATGCGTCACATTTAACGAGCGGCCCTTGGTGAGTAGTAAGCTGATAGTTGTTTGTAACATTTTTCCCCAATTGCCTGGTTACTTGAGATGGTGGCGCCAGAGCCGACGTTAGAGCACGCAACAGCGTGAGCTCGCGACATTGAATTGAGATGATGTCTGTTGATCCATTCCTGTCAATTTTCATTTATCTCACATCAACATTATACAACCACCTCCATGATCTAGTACTCCTGATTTTAATCACTGGATTGTCTGGTCCAGACACGATTATTTACAGACCGCCGTCATATAGCTGGAATATTTTTAAGTGCGGGGTTAAACAACAAACCAACCAACAACCAGGGTCCCGTGGATACGGTGTCTGCCCGGAGAGGGCAAGGTCGGTGGTCCGATCCCCGGACGCGTCATACCAAAAGACGTTAAGAGATGGTCATTGCAGCTAGCCTACCTGGCGTTCGGCATTAAGGAAATAAAACAAGGACTGGTCGGCTGGGATTTATTACGTGTCTGAGGGGAAATCGAGTTGAGAATGAGGTATGGTATGTCATTTGGCTAGCAGTTTAAAATCACACACACACACACACACGCACGCACGCACGCACGCACGCACACACACACACAGCTATATCACACATATTTTGGACATTTCGTGACAAATAATGTGATTAAGAAAATACCACTGACATTGCACACTCATAAGACACCCATATATTATTAAAAACATCGCAAAGCGACTCAATCTTGGCATAAATCAATTTTAAGACTAGTACCAAGTGTTTTCAACTTTAAAATATAATAAAATAAGTTACACAAATGGTGAAGAACATTTTTTTTAAATTTCGCCCGCTCGCTCTCTTGTTAGTTGAGGATGGAGATGAGAAACAAAATATGAATGGACTTACAGTTATAAGGAAAACTCTTCAACCCTAAAATATATCAAACCCGCTAAGATAAAGACTTTATGGCCATTTGAAGTTATGGAAAAAAAAATAATTATTTCGGTGATTTCTATTAATAACCCCATATACTTCAAGACCAATCCCTAAACCCCGTATCACTATGGTATCTGCAGAAAGAGAACATCCTGGGCAGGATTCTCTATATCGTCAAGAAAAGCCAGGGTAGTCTGTCATCCAGACCCTGATACAAATATATCCAATACATCCCATGCAAGTCTATAAGTTTGGCAAGTCTAGATTACTGCAGTATCTGAAAATGAAGAGAGTCTCTGGGCTCCGTTTTATAATATTTTGTTCAAGATAATTTAACTTTTTTTTTCATTCTGTTCATTTCACAGACTAGATGTTAGTCTAGGACGGGGGGAAATGGGACAAAGAGCGAAAAAAAGGAAGACGTCCACGTGCAGTTTTTTAAACTGGCCGAAGTGTGCACGAAATATTTCAACTATTCAAAATACATTTTATAGATCCCCAGTGAATCTGTGACTGTGTACTAGAAACTAGTATTTTGACCTATTAAAAGGGATTTATCTTTGTGTTTACGATACGACTCTAATTTTCTTTCGACAAACCCCCGGCTGTCTTATTAACCTGATATTAACCTGATATAACACCTTATACCATAAGTAATATGCATCTTATATAACATGTAAGTGATGCGCATCTGATATAATATATAAGTGATATGCACATGATATACCATATAATTGACACGCATCTGATATAACATTTAAGTGATTTGCACGTGATATAACACATAAATGATATGCACCTGATATAACATGTAAGTGATACGCGACTGATATAACATGTAAATGATATGCATCTGATATAACATAAGTGATATGCACCTGATATAACATGTAAGTAATATGCATCTGATGTAACACATAAGTGATATGCACCTGATATAACATACAAGTGACACTCACCTGATATAACATAAGTGATATGCACCTGATATAACATACAAGTGACACACACCTCATATAACAAGTAAGTGATA